CCCGCACGCCCGCGCCTCGGCCTCCCGCTGCCGTCCGGGGCCACAGCCGGGCCCCTCACTCCGCAGCCGCCGTTGTCGCCAGACCCGACGAGCGGAGCCCCGAGCGACCGCCTCCATCCGGCCAGCCCCGCCTCGCCGGAACCGTTCGCCCGCCTCGCGCCATGACACCTACTGAGGCGGAAGTGCGGAGAGGCGGACGGGTTAGGGCCACCGCATAGTCCCCAGGGCCGTGGGAATGGGGGCGCCTCCGTGGGGAGCCAGCGTGGGCCGAGTGCGGAGGCCGAGACCCCGACCCCTCCCCACGGCCGGCCGCGCGATGATTTGCTGGTGCCTGGTGACTGTAGAGGGTCCGGCTGTAAAATGTAATCCCAGCCAGTGTGACATCACCGCAGTCTGGTGTGACAGCCCCGGAGATTGGGCAACGCTCGGGGAGGCTGGGAAGCCCCCGGGGGTGAGGAACTACAACAGCTTAGCCTTTCCGATTTCTTTTCCAGGTGGAGATGTTCTAGCAGTGGGGCATCAGCATACGGGTTGTGCACATCAGGTGTCTCTTAGGGAGCGCTCCCATTTCCGCCTTGGGCATCAGTATTCGCTTTAGGTGAGCTGGAATAGCTGTTCTGAACCTGACCCTTCATGCAGTGAGCGAATGCTGACAGCTTTCTAGCCTCCACCAGGCCATAAGGCTGGATACAATGCGTTGGACCTTGAGTCCTGAGAAAATGAACACTAGGTTATCCTAATAGAATTGCTGCCATCTCCTATCGTCAAGAGAGTCTATAGGACTTCAGATATGCCTCCTGTTGTGTAAGACGTTCTTCTGACTCCCAAGGTGAGGAACATTTTTAGGGAAACTAACGTCATCCATTAATTTGTTCCATACCACAAGTGCTACAGGCATCAATGAGTGAATCCTAGAAGGTGACTGTCAGGCACCGCCAATGTTTACAGCTACTCGGAGGACGGGGACAGATGCGGCTAAGACAGGATTCTGCTAACCACCTCTGCCTCTCAGATCTCAGTCGTTATACATCCTTGATTTCCTTTGATCCCCATCTCACAAAGACAGAATTTTTGTAAAATATGCCACAGGACCTTTTAAGGGAAGTCGTTTGGGTTTCTCTCTGGCTTGACAACACTGGGAGCAGTTCCATGTTATTGGGAACAGGGAAGTTTTATTTCCCTAGAGGACCAGGGTTAGCGAAAGCGTTCAATCCCGCAGGGCAGTTTTGTTTGCTTATTTTCACAGAAACTTCCTTCTTGCTGTTTAGAGAACATAAAGTCCCCACTTTGGGCTGACTCTGAAAAGATCAAGACAGGAAGAGTGAGGATGCCTGCCTGGTGAGCCAGGAAAAAGGCAGAAACTTGGTGTCTGGGATTGAGCAGGTCCTGCTCAAAAAGCAAGCCGGAAGCAGTTGCTTAGCATGCTTTGGTTCAGCCTAATTCTGTGGCGACTTATGATCTCTTACCCAAGTTATGTCCCTTTCCTCTTTTCAAACGTATCTCAAAGTTTACTTGTAGACAGCCTTCCCAGGTTAAAGTCCACATTATTCTAATTCTGTGTCTTCATCTGACTACTTAGGTAATTTACTTATTTATATCATATTTATACTTGGTCTCTATCTTCATTGTTGTTCCCTCAATCCGTCTCATTGTACAGGGAATTTAAAGTCTAGTATTTTCTCCATTCTAATATCATTCATTCATTCATCCAGGAAATTGCTTGTGTACATGCTCTGTCAAAGGCACTGAGTCAGATGAAAGATGAATAAGGTGTGGTCTTTTCCCTCAGAGAGCTTACAGTCTAATGAGGAAAAAATGCTTGCAGACCCATGACTTGAATGAGGGAGTCAGAAAATATCATCGGAGAAGTTATTATTTGGTATGGTCAAAAAACTTTTATAATTTAATGTAGCTGGAAGTCGTTTGTCCATTCAACAAACATCTGTAGAGTAGCTTAGAAGAAAAAAATGTATTCATGCCACAAAGGAGCTTACAGTTCAACAAAGAAAGGGGAGGATGTGGAATTAGTAAGGTAGGTAGAGTCAGATTTTGAAAGATAACAAAGGGCTTGAAGAGATTTAATCAGGTAATATGAGAGAACTGCTGATGGTGAGGAAGACTGGAGTGGATAAAGACTGGAGCAAGGGAATTAATTAAAAGTGAGATGAAGGTTTGATCAAGCAGGTAACATGGAGAGAAGGGACAGATAAGTGAAAGAATTCCTCACAGACAAAGTCAGGGCATCTGGACAAAGAGATGGAGCTGTCAGTAGTGAAAGCTTTCAGGTCTCATACAGGATATAATGTCCCTCCAGGGCCTAGAGCCTGGATACAGTGTTACAGGCAAGAAATCACTTGCTTAGGAGCTTCTGTGCTTAAGGCCAAAAGGGAGAACCTGACCAGGGGGAATGTCTTGTGAACAGCTAAATAAAAAAAGCTAGACAAATTATCCAAACAAGTAGTGAATCCAAGGGGCTCGGAAGAAAAACAAAATTCAATCTGAAGCCAACAGATTGCAAAACTGACAAAACCAGATGAAAGTGAAGATCTGAACTAAAGAACAGGAAGCAGAACCTGGAAAAATCCCTTAGAGCAACTGAAAGGAAGCCTCAGTGATTTCTGAAACCTAGATCCCAGAAAACTTTGATTTTTCTGGTGTTTTTATTTCGTTTTTAAGAAAACTTTTTATTTGGAAATAATTTCAAACATACAGAAAAGTTATAAGAATAATACAGAGATTACCAACACATCCTTTTACCTAGATTCAGCAACATTTTGTCCCTTTTTCTTTTATCATTTATGTTCTTACATTAGCTACCTAGATGGTTCCATACATACTAATGCATATAGTTATTAACTCTAGGAAATATAACATTGATAGACTATTTTAACTTATCATGAGTATTCCAATTTTGGTCAATTAACCCAATAATACCCTTCTTATTTTTGTTTTTGTCTCCAGCACAAAATCCAAACTAGGCTTTGTCTTGATTACATTTCTCTCGTTGCTGGGACAAAATACCTGACACCCAAAGTTAAGGAAGGAAAGGTTTATTTAGCTCACAGTTTGTGAAAGTTTCAGTCCATTCTCAGCTGGCTCCAACGCAGGATGGCACGTGGCAGAGGGCACAGTTCATGGCAGTGGAAAACAGCAAAAGCAGCAGGAGCAAGCCTCTGTCTCTCACTTATATTGTATGCAGGCTACCCGCCGTAGGGCAGGGATAGCACTCACACCCATTATCCCAGCATTGGACTGTGGATCAATCAAAAACTAGAAACCCGCCCCATGACTGCATGAAGCTTTGGCGGGACATCTAGACACAAACCATGGCTGGCTTATATTTTGTATTTAATTATCCTTTAGTCTTTGATGAATAAATTTTTTTGTCATATCTATCTCAGGGCCTTTGCACTGAGCTATACTCACCGCCCTTTTTTCATTTTTTATTTTGAAACAGGGTCTCGCTAAATTATATATTACCTAGACTGGGCTCGACCTTGTGATCCTTCTGCCTCAGCTTCTCAGAGTGTTGGAATGACAGATGTATGCCCCCATGCTTTCTTTGGCTATATTTTTTTAGGATTCCTCACCCCTACCCCATAAAATAATGGTCCTCATTTTAACTTTGTTGTTTATGTTTGTCTCATGTTTCTCATGATTAGATTCAGGTTATCTTTTCCTGGTCAGGACAGTACATAAATGATATCTGTATCCTTCTCATTATACTGTACCTAAAAACTCATGACGACTCTCACTGATAATGTCAGTTTTGATGAGCTGGCCAAGGCCTCTGATTTCTCTGCAGTACACTTACTAACTTTTCCTTGTAATTAATAAGCAATGTGTGGAAAGACACCTTAGATCGTGTAAATATCCTGCTTCTCATTAAATATCTTCCCCCTTGATTTACCATCTATTGATTTTTTTCCCCAGTACTGGGGATTGAACCCAAGACCTTCCCACTGAATTATTAAACTACATCCTCAGTCCTTTTTCTTATTATTTTTTTTTGTTTTTGTTTTTTGTTTTTTTTCTCCGGTACCAGGAACCGAACTCACGACCTTGCGCTTGCCAGGCAGGCGCTTTGCCGCTGAGCTAAATCCCCAGTCCCCTTTTTCTTATTTTGGATGGGTTCTCACTAGGTCTCTAAAGTTGCCCAGCTGGGCTCCTTCTTCAGTCTCCCAGTGTTGGGATTACTTCGTTTCTTTTTTTTTTTTTGGTCTTTTTGAGACAGGGTCTTGCTATGCAGTTCAGGCTGACCTTGGGCTCACTTTGTAGCCCAGGCTGGTCTCAACTTGCAATGATCCTCCTGCCTCAGCCTCCCAAGTGCTGGGCTTACAAGCGTGCGCTACCATGCCGGGCTAGGATTACATTCTTATGTACACCAATCCTTCACGTCTCTTATTTAGGTAGGAAGTCACTTGTCTGTTGATTAATGATATAGATGCACGGATTACTATTTTTTCAGTGGTTTGCAATTCATTTTCTCCTTATTTTAGTCAAAACGAATTTTCCAGATTTAGTCAGTGGGTACCCCTTCAAGTTGCTTCTGCTTCTTTTTTTAGTTTGTCTCCCTAAAATGGTCCAGGTTCATCATGGATTTTCCCTGTCCAGGCCTCAGACTCCGTCATTTCTCTGAGAAGTCTTGATTCTTTTATGGCAAATTGGAAAAAGGAGATCTGGGCACTAGTTCCAGAATGACTCTTTAGTGGATGCTTATGGCTTTGGAGATGAATGCAAACCTTGAGTGGACAGTTTCCCTATTCATCCCTTCCCTCAGAGTTGCAAGACTGAATTCTCTTCAAGATCCACCCCCATACTGCTTTACAGTATTCTGAAAGCTCACATAGAAGAATGGGGCAGACACTGTTCGTGGCCATCAGTGACTAGTTAATGGCTGCTATATCTCAATGGCCTAACACAATTCAATTTTATTGCTTGTTCACATCATTAGTCCCTTGTTGGTGGCTAAGAGTGAGAGAATTGTTCTGCTCCATGAACTCATTCAGGAATCCATGTGTATTGCATCTAGATTCTGTGACTTTACTATTCTTTGGACCTTTTGAATCTGGCCAGAAAAAAAAAAAAAAAGGATAGCGAAAACATGGATTATCATGTGGGGAATTTTTGTTTGTTTGTTTGTTTACTTATGTTTTATTTTTGGTTTTCTTTTGAGACAGTATCTCACTGTGCAATCCAGGCTGGCCTTGAACTCACTGTGTAGCCTAGGCTGACCTTGAACTTGTGGCAGTCTTCTTGCCTCAGCCTCCTGAGTGCTGAGATTACAGGTATTCGCCACTGCCTGACTATGTGGGAAGTTTTTTTTTTTTTTTGTCTTTTTGAGACAGGGTCTTGCTATGCAGTTCAGGCTGGCCTTGAGCTCATTTTGTAGCTCAGGTTGGTCTCGAACTCACAACCATCTTCCTGCCTCAGGCTCCCGAGTGCTGGGATTACAGGCGTGTGCCACCACGCCCGGCTTATGTGGGAAGTTTTTATAGGCCATGCCTGCATCTAGATTCTGTGGCTTTACTATTCCTTGGATCTTTTTTATCTGGCCAGAAAATGATGTAGTTAAACTTTTCAAAGAACCTGGAACAGCCCACTTCTGGACTTCCACTTAGGTAAATATTGTGCTTAAAACCACTGTTAAAATACAATTTTAGCCAGGTGTGGTGGCACATGCCTGTAATCCCAGCACTCGGGAGGCTGAGGCAGGAGGATCCTGCAAGTTAGGAGGATCATTGGGAGTTCAAGACCAGCCTGAGCTACAAAATGAGTTCAAGGCAGCCTGAACTGCATAGCGAGACCCTGTCTCAAAAAGACAAAAAAAAAAAAATTTTTAAAAAGAAAATGGAATTAAGATATATTTTCTATTCTTATAGTATGAGTGGTTACTGACAAGCTGGGAAGGATGATTTGGTCCAACTGGGTGACAGAATTTATTCTGGGCAATACATTTATTCAGCTCTCAAAATAGCTGTCAAGGAAGCTATCTGGGTCTGTGCTGTCCACATTAGCTACACGTATCTGGGGAGCCATAAACACAATCATTTTGATTACTGTCTCTCTCACTTCTCACAGGAATAATCCAGGAAAAATTCTGGCTCCCTAATTGTTTTCATGAAGAGGCACATGAGTGATGGGGCTACACTAGGACCTGCTGGGTCCCAGCAGAAATGATGGCTTGATGGAAGAGGAGTCTGGATGAACGGTGTGCTTATGAGATTAAAGTAGAAGGAATTAAAAAATAAGAGAAGGTGAAACTAGACAAAGATGGTGGTTGCATAACATTGTTAACACATTAAGTGCCACTGAATCCCTAATTTTTCTGATTATTAAGGATCAACCCAAGGCTGGGCGTGGTGGAGCATGCCTGTAATCCCAGCACTCTAGAGGCCGAGGCAGGAGGATCACTGCAAGTTCAAGGCCAGCCCAGGCTACAAAGTGAGCCCAAGGCCAACCTGAACTGCATAGTGAGACCCTGTCTCAAAAAGACAAAAAAACAAACAAAAAAAAAGGATTGGGGCTGGGGATTTAGCTCAGCGCCACAGAGCCTGCCTGGCAAGCACAGGGTCATGAGTTCGGCTCCTGGTACCACAAACCGCACCCCCCAAAAAACAAACAAAACAAAACAAAAAAACAAGGATCAACCCAGAGACTAGTTTGGGGAAGAGCAAATGCTTTGCATTCTCATACAACCAGTGCTTACTGCTCCTTAGACCCTCCCTTCTCCATAATTATTTCAAATACCTCCCTTTTCTACACGTGAGCATCCTACTCTCACCTCTGTCATATACCACCCCTTTGTTCAGCAAAACCAAGGGGTAGGCTTTTCTCTCCCTTTCCTTGGGCCATTATCATTCCTCATTATCAGGTCTCCTGGATTCCGTCGCTTCTGATGTTTTCTTTAACAAACTGTTACACAAGATTTGTGTTTTGTTTT